ATATATATATTTTATGGTTCCCCAAAATATGGGGGATAACTGCAATCGAGGAAATATGATTCCAATAATTTGGGCCTGGAGAGCAATCGAAAGATTAGTCTTCTTATAATCAATCTTCCTTTTTCAATATGTCTCGAGAGCGTTTTAAGAGAATTGAAAAATGTTTGCACATAATTGCGAAATTCGTTTATCTAAACATAACTCCATGAATAGAACAATTTGTTATAATTAATTATGAATTTTAAATATTTTATTTAATAATAGTTGAAAGTTTTTCGAATTGATAAACATGCAAATTTCACGCCATTTAAAATAATGCAATTTTATATAACAAAATACAAAGTTTAAAGGAAATCAGTTGAGTATTTCCTGAGAAATCAAATTTTAAATGTCTGGCTTTTTTAATACTCAATTTATCAGAAACTATTAGATTAACTTTTATGTCTAATTTCGTAACTTAAAAGTGTCGTCTACAATAACTAATTAGTCTATTTGATGTCACCCCCACGGACCATTACGATTGAATCTTAGTACATGAAAACCCGAGCATTAGATCAAAAGTTATTTATTGCGATTCGCATTTTGCTTCTTTCTTTTACACACAGTCCAGCAAGATACGAAATTGCTACCATAAGAAATTAAAGGCTAGCAAGGTAGCAATGTTCCGTAAAGTGTATAAAATTTTCTCAACTTAATCACCAATTCGGAATGTCAATTTCACATTATTATAAATTTGGTTACCTATTACTCAGTGTAGGATTAAATAGGACGGTTTTTCAAAACAGATTTGAAGACTGTTGAAGTATATTCAATAGTTTCAATATCCTCTAGCCGTGACAAAAGAAATTTTTTTAGTCAAATAAATGGTTGGAATTTCATAGCAGTAGGGCAAATTGATAGTTGTGTAATTAGTTTTCCTCGGAATTGAAAGCAAATGAGAAATAGTTTTAAAAAATCAATTTTGCATAGAACTTGAGATTAGACTGGGGTTAAAATACTAAAGGTGCAAATGAGAAAGATATGTTTTTATAAAATTCTGTATTTGGTTATTATTTTCGTCAAAAAAATAATTAAATTGTAAATTATGATACAAGCTAGTCATATGGGAAATCATCAAAAGAATTTATGTCATTGAATTTATTCTTGTCAGATTTCCAGATTTTTCAAATTAGATTATATCATTTTATATGCCGCTAAACCTTTTCGATCATCAGCCCCCAAAAATTTTAGAATTCTTTTATCGAAAAAAATTTTTTGGAAAGAAAGTGAAAAAAAACTTACATCTTTCTTAAGGTATTTATATTTATTTTGAAAAAAGAATTTTTTTTGTGCATAAATCAGAGAAAAAGACGTGCTTGATGACAATTGGCTAGATTAGCAATGTCTGGTTCGTAATTTGTTAGTTTCAGTCTTAAATTGCCTCTGAGCTTCCCAATCAATTTGTTTCTTGTCTTTGTTAAAATAGAATTCACATGACTGAAGATATATTTAACCATGTATGAGCTTGGGAATATAATTAGGATAATCCACTTTTGTGGCGAATCGTTTGTTTCTAAGTTTAGTGTTAGGGCCATCTAGTAAAACGGAATTAGAATCCTTTTCCTCAACTCTGAGAATGAGTAAGACATCACGAAACAAAGCAAATTAGCACTGTAAAAAAAGGAATCTACTTGAACTATAATCTACTGGTACTATCGAGGTATAATCGACAGTAACTGAATTGTAATATCAAAAGAGTATTCCAAACGAAAACTTCATGTATTGCGTTGCTGCAATTTGCAATTTGCCTGCAATTGACAATTCAATAGCATTGGTATTCACTTATCGATCCCCTAGATCGAATCGAACCCTAATTATTCAAAATGGACACCCTGTAGGTCGATATCGTTCGCTTTGGAGAGGCCTAGCTTAGTCGAATAAGTAAAAAAATAGGCGTTAAAGTTAAAAGAAAATATTGCTCAAGTTTTGAAATTATAAAAAAAAATTGATGGACGTATAAAAAATCTAAAATGTCTTCTTATAATGTATACCCTTTTTAAACTTTTAATATATAATTACCTCTGAATAATGTTATCTAAAATAAACATGCTGTTACAATTTCTACGTTCTCTCTCTTGTCTGCTACTGCTCTAGCGCATTTCTTGACGTATTTAGATATTTATTTAGATATGTGGCGTAACTACCACTATAAATATTAAATACTAATTGTTGTTGTTGTTGTTGTCGTGTCTATGCTAGTGCAAAGATTAGAGTTTTCCAAAAGTCTTGATAACAAGGTTTGCAAGTTCTTGAGCCTGATGGCTATGGAGAATTTCGATGGGAGGTGCTCCAAGTTGAAAGAGGGAGCCGATAATGGCCTGGCAGTCAAAAACATGGTCTGGAGTTAGTTGCAAATGAGGACAGTGCTTGCACATGGGATAGAATTTTATATGGGTGCGTAAGATCTTCATGCCCTTGAAATGTCCAGTACGTAGCCTAGCTATTGTAGAGAAGAGGTTTCTTGGGCAGTTTTCTATACTAATTCAGTTGTATATAAGACTTGTTAACTCGATTCTACCTTAGCGTAGGTACCTTTTGATAGATGATGGTTGACATAGTCGATAATTAAATTCCCTCGGATATGCTTACAAATAGACACTTAAAGTTTACATAAATAAAAAAAACACATAAGGCAGTTATTGAAGTATGTTTGCACTTCTTCTTAGTACTTAATACTTTTGGTGTCCAGTCATTAGTTCTAAGATTAAAAAAAAGTAACCGGACTCAACATGTTTAATACTCACTTATAAGTTGAGCTGCAACAGTCAGTTTTCCTTCTGATAAGCCCTTCGCTAATAAAAATGGGCGTATTAAATCCTGCATCGTCACTGCTGTTAGTGAATTGACACACGACGATACAGTGCTTAAACAAGCACTAAATATTCCACAAATGCAAATACCCGCCAATCCAGAATAGTCTGAAAGGCTTTTCATCATAAAATATGGCAACAACTAAAACCAATGAATTACAAAATTAAAAACATTCACAATGGCAAACAATAATAAAGATCTATAAAAGCAATTTTAAAGATCTTGTGATAATTAGATAAAAAATAAAGTCAACCAGAGTTTTACCATCCTCGCTACCTCTTGCAACCCGGCAAACAATCAGTTTATATAATCCGCACAATGAAGAATTGTTCAGATCACTACGGAGAAATTTCTCCTCTTTCACTATATTAAATATACTAAACTAAATATATCAACTCACTATACTAAATATACAGATACTAAATATAGTAATCTAGAATATGTTCTTAAGCAATATTGTAAGGACACAAGAGGATGGAAGGAAACATCATCACGAAGAGCTCAGTGTAGAGCTCATTTTAATTATACATTCACACATCCATTTATCAATAATGAGTAACAACATAGCATTAACTAAAATAGAAAGTAACTTAATGTTTTACCCATCAAACTGATTGGGGTAAAAGGGAAAAATGGAAGGTTCTTGTAGCTCACCTTGCGTTATCTCACTCAGTTAGAGTCAGAATGAAGACTATTGTTATTGTTTTTGCGGATAGAGAGATAGCGCCATATGTTGCTACGAATTAACTATCAGTTACAATATTCTATGGTACTTAAACTAAAACTGTCTGACACTTCGAAAGTATCAGGACAACAAACTCATACATTGTCATAGTAACCTGTGACAATTATGGCAATTCTGTGCTGTTTTTCTTTTAATTTCCTTTTTTCCTATAAATTTCTGACCTTCAGGAATTCCGTCCTGTTGGCCATTGATAACTCATTTTATAAAAAAACACTCCTTTAGTTCTCGATCTCTCTTTAAACCTTTCATATTCGACCTCTTTATCCTAATTCAATCATACATATTAATATAATCTACTTTTAAATTTTAATCTTATTTATTGTATTCAATCTTATACCCTACGAATATCACCTTTATTTATTTATTATCATTTATTTTCCTTTCATTTTCATTTATTTTTTTTCATCACTCTCTCCTACTTTCTCACAACCTTTTAATATAATTTTGTATTTTATTTTTTATAACTCTCGCACGCCTTTTAATATTTAGTATTTTGTATTTTTAATAACTCTCACATGCGTCCTAACTTTTTGAAAGCTGTAATAAAGTTCTATAGTTAATGTACTGAAAATCGGTATCTCTCTTTTACATAAAAATCTACTGAACCTAAAAGGTAGGTGGAATGTAATCCTCTTAATTTTATTTCAAAAACTGAGGTTCAGGAAAAAAGAAAACATCCCTTATAAATAATACCATGTCGATATTTGCCACTTAAATAACATGGTAATATCATAAATTAAAATTAACAAAAATTTAATTACAATTAATTCTCTGTTGGTTTCTGACTCATACAATTCTAGAAAGAAACAAATAATAAACAAAATAGAGGCTACTTCCAATTAAAATATCATACAAATGCGATTGCATGAATACGTTTTTTAAGACATAGATTTTTATAATTAGATTAAATTTTTTGGATTAAATTGTGATCTACAGATATATTTAGATTAGATGCTAGTTTGAGTTTTCAGCACGGCATTGAAAATTTTGCGATTTTTTTCTAAATAGATTAATATTACTTTTAGGTAGAATTTCGTAAAACATCTTCATAGCATTTAATATGTCTCCATGATATTAATTATTAATTCATAAAATGTGTGACTTAAACGTTACTGAGTAAAGGTTTTTCTTAAAGTATTATAAAAGAAACAACACAGTTTCTAGACTGGCACATCTAGTCCGAGCATTTATTTTAAAAGTAATATATTTTGTTCCTATATCTTACCTGATCTCCATGATGAATAGGGTTGTTTGGTGGTGACAGAGGATCGCATTTTTCAAAATAGGCATACAGGACTATGCCTGTCAGGCAAATTAGTAGATGCAATGGAACACCAATAGGCATGCTGACAAATAAAGCTCTAGAAAATAAAAACAAATTAATCATTTGAACATTAGAATCGTTAAATTAAGTTCATTTAAAGAGCACCTCAAATATAGATCATTCTAGATACATATGAAGTCAATTATTGCGGTCCTTTTTAGTATATTATTTATTTATTTTTAATTTTGATGCTTTTTCCCTTGCTTGTTTCTCTCAACCTTGTTTTCTAAGCAGTCAGTTTCTATTTCTTAACAAAAAAGCTGACTTACATCAAAATTTAAATTTAATCAATTTATATGAATTCCTAAATTTTTTCTACTATTGAATCAGATTTTGCTTTTCAGTTTGGTTCACTATTCTATTGGAATAAAATTTAAATCTAACCATTTTAAATAGCTGCCATTGCAGTTTTTCCTCCAGTTTTGTTTTTCAAGACTTTATTTAGATTTTTGGTTACTATTTAAACCCATTAAATTATTTTTTATTAAGAGATCATTCAATTATATACGGAGAAGTTCATTCCAAACTTACTTCATTTTTTAAACATTGAATTGATTATTTTAATTGTTAGTGTTGCCTGAGCACAATTTCATGCAAAGCTTATAATGAAATTACGGTAAAGAAGGGTTTCGCAAGATTTATAAAAAGATATCAGAATATCTTCAAAATAAACATAGTTGATCCTGAAAACCCCATGTATTCAAAACTGAATCAGCATAAACTCATTTTTGAGAAAAATGCGTAGTCTCAAAAGTAAACTGAATGGAGTAGTGTATAAAAGACAAGTTCGTTGACTACGGCAAGATTGGAATTGAGAGCCCTCAAGTTCGTAGTAAGAAGCTCTAACCACTATAAATGCACACCCTAGTCCAGGAAGAGTTAGGAAGCTTTTTAGAGTGCACGAGGAAATAATACTTCATGATACGCATTCCATTCGATTAGAAAATTTTTAAGATAAAGCGAAGTAAGAAAATGTGAAATTAAAATCACCAATCCCTCGACTTAGCAATTGGGACCATATTTTCCAAATTATAGGGGAGAGTGGGGTCAATTGTAAAATTTTTTACTTAACTATTTTTAACTAACAAAAAATCCAATATATTGTTAGTATAAATTGACAGACGAGCAAAGTAGACTATCCCCTACTAGAAAAAAATACCTCATTTTAAGTGTTATTATATTAGTTATTCACAATTTTTGACAGTCGTGCACTTGTTACAATTGTCCCCACTTGCGGAGTCAATTGTAACAGTTCATAAATTCAACTAAAACATAGTTAATTATACATAATATCATAGTTGTGATATAGTTTTTTATTGATCAAAATAGTAGTGATATTTTAGGAGTAAAAATAATAATGAGCTGTGACCTAAAGGGTAAAACTTTTAACTTTAAGGGGTTAAAAATTTTATTTTATGCTGTGAAAGGTGACAAATAAAATAATGCACATGCAACATAATATAAATGATATAGGAAACTATTGGTGGTTCTTAAAGAGTTAAGTAATGGTTTGTAAACATAAGATTATTTATTT